CAATGATTCATTTCAGTCACGAGGCGAGACTTATGGCGATTGACTTTAAACGTAGCCTACTGAGGAAATTGCAGGAACACGCATGCGCGCACACGCATTTCCGTTGAATTATGAACACATTTGAAACGAAAAAGATGTTAGTTTAAATGCAAACGTCCAGTGAGTTCTACGGTACCAGAAAATCAACTTGAGCATGTATAATGTCCTAATTACCTGCAAGAGTTTTGTTTCTACAAAACTAGGCATCGAGAAGTCGTCCATTATCAGTGAGCATTCAGCAAGCAATGAGGCAAGAAACATATTGAAGTTGTAGTGAATTCAATTTGGGTAATTAAACAAAACAATCCTTAAATGTCAGATGATAATATTGGCATCTGAATAACAATTTAATCATATCGAACGCTTATATGATGCTGCTATGAACCTCAAGAGTTTTACAAATGTGTTGATCTTTTCTTTCAACATTTTATATTGTATGGGCTTAATAAATTAAAGGCGTTCCTGCTTTAGATATCAGCAATTAAATTCCTTAGTTATCTGGTGGCAAACACTAACCATTTGCAAAGATAGAATGGAAAAACTATTTGTAACAAAGCAATCCTAATATAGTTTTAATTTGTTATTTTAAAAACAGATACTTGTCATAATTTAATTTCAACCAGTAGCGGACATTACAGAAAAAGAGAAGTAGTAGATATTTTGGCCTATTGCCGGGTTCATACTCCTCCCTGGTCTTTTGAATAGAAATAGAGGTTTATCTCTTGTTTCCTGTTTAGGATAGGGTTTCCGTTTCCTTTTAAAGTCTTCTACAACATATACTTCTAATTCTCCCCTTTTTTTTTTTCACATTGAAATTCACCCTGTACAAGGTTCGGGGGCCAGTCAAGATAGAAGGTTAGAGTAAGAGGCAATTTATACGGAAATGCGTGAAAGATAGCGGTTAGCCATAAACTTAAACAGGATAAGATTGTATTAATGAAGGAAACATCCTCTTGGGAATCTGTTTCACGTAGCAATAATTCGCAAGACGAGGCTGTTCGAGTAAAAGTTTCTTATCGCCAAAGGAATACGGAAAGAATGGATGCGCTTTACAAAAAAGTGAGTGATATGGCAATCCTAGTAGTGAAGGTTAGTATTGCTGGAACTAAGGAATGAGGTTCGTCCGAGCACTTTCCATTGAAGTAGCGACAAAACAGTGAGTGGCTTGCCACATCCTGCCTGGGAGAGAAAGGTTGAAGGGTGGAAAATAATTTGTTACTCACAAGGACGTTTCTGGACACTATTGAGACTGGTAAGTGAGGACTGGGCAGCTCCTGTATAAATATGACAACAGTCATGGTGGAGTAGTGGATAGCGGTTCGGATTGAGGTATCTGAGAGCCGAGTTCGAATTCCAGTTGAATCCATTACATTCAATTACGTGCTAATACCCTTGGGAAAGGTATTAATCCTCTTCTCTACCCAGCTATGTCTAAATAGCAGTACAGACCGGGTTCTGTAGCCTGCATGATCGCCTAAGCATTGCACATAACTCACTGACTCCATTTTAGGCCTGATCTGGTTCTGGTAGAGGGGAGGATAGTACGAGGAGTCAGGTACTTACTAGAGCGGTACAGGGAACCTGACCATTCTTCTCTGCAGACATGGATCGTATGAGGTCAGGGGTGAACTTATGGCCCAATAGTCTCTCAAGTCACGGTGTCACTTGGCGGGAACATCCATTCATCGTTACTGGTGGTAGTCCGGAGTACATTTTCTGATGATGGAATGTAGCTACTTTGGTTTTTGAAGCATTGAATGGAATCAGCAAAGTTTTCCTCCATTAAAAATGTAGATGAAAATAAATGAAATCCAAACATGAATACTAATTGTCGACAGTACGTAATCTAATGAAAAATACGAAAGTAAATAGTACTAAAAATTAATAATAATGGCGGACAATGCTTGACCTATTAATAAATTAAGCTTAAAATATTAGTTCTCTATAAAAAAAATTACCTCAAAAAGTTCAGTTTACTTCGCATTTATACTGAAGTTAACAATCCGTTCCTTTCTAAAATGTTGGCCACATTTTGTCTTAATAGCTGATTTCGACTTGCTTATAACAAATTATATTATGCTGTAAAGATATCTTTCGCAATGTAATTTAAAACAAAACAGTAACTTATTCTTACATACACATAAACACATGCAGCCACACGCGCACAGGTATGATGATAAAATCATGCAGACCTACAAACACTGTTCATTTAAATCGAGCCGTGAACCCAGAACATAAAATTTTAAAGTTGCTTCGATGCCAGCGTATTTGTCGATGGTGTTTATTCGATGCGTAATATAATAAAACCCAAACACGATATCTTACATTCAAAATACAATATCGGCTTGAAATAACTAATCATCCTTACGGGCAAAAAGAGCTTACTCCCCCAGTCACATTCTTGTAAAATCAGTTCTTAGGCATTACATATATCAACCAGTTTATTTCTTCCATTTACCTCTTCTAGCCGCTACCAACCGCTTACGACCCCACCCTTCATTCTAACCACAATGCAACGACATAGGTGATTGTGGCCTGCTTTGCCTAAGAAACTCTTTCCTCGACTTTATAAGCACTCAAACGAAACTATCACTCTTCTGATCTTAAAAAGAAATGTAAATGTATTACGATATTGTGGGAGGGAGAGAGTAAACGGCAGCTTCTAACAAAAGATATACTTCATAAAAAAAAAAAAAGACTGGAAAATTACTCGTCAATTTACTTAGAATGCTCTTATTTTTAACAATATAGAACGGCTGCTGAAAAATTCTCTGCTCGACCCACTTTGCAAAATCTGAGCAAAATGACCAAATATTTATTTTTTTCATTTTTTTAAATCCTTGTTTCGATCGAGAACTTTTCAGTGCCCCATCCTACCTGCGGGTCTTGGGAAAATTTAAAGCACAAATATTAACTTTGTACTTATTTGGTTTGTACAAATGAAAGATTCCTATGATTACCTTTTTTCTTTCTTTGCTTCTTTCGTGTTTACCATCATTGTTTACTCCCTTTTTTTCTCTCTTTCTTTTTTTCTTTCTTTACCATTTCTTTCATTCTTTATTTCTTTCTTATTCTTTGTGTTTATCATTTTTTCCCTTTCTTCTCCCTTTATTTCTATCTTTCTTCACATTTATCCACCATTTCTTTTTTTCTTTCTTTCTTTAAGTTTATCATCGCTTTTTCTCTCTTTATTTCTTTCTTTATTTCACATTTCTTCACCATTTCTTTCTTTCTTTCTTTCTTTATGTTTATCATCGTTTTTTTTCCTTTTTTCTCTCCTTCTTTATTTCTTTCTTCACATTTGTTCACCATTTCTTTTTTCCTTCATATTTATCGTCATTGAGTTTTCCTTTTTATTCTCTCTTTCTTTTCTTATTGTTTTGCTGTCACAAAGCATTTCTGAAAAGAGAATTTAAAAAGAATTGTTTCACAAGCATCGCAAAATTATGATTTACTGAAATGTTATAGTTAATGAATCAGCACAAAGTTTGGTAAAGAAAAATCAATGGGAAATGGAAAAGAAAGAAAGAAAGAAAGAAAGAAAGAAAGAAAAAGAAAGAAAGAAAGAAAGAAAGAAAGAAAGAAAAATAAATAAAAGAGAAAGAGAAAGAAAGCCAAAAAAAAAAGACGGACGAATAAGTAGAAAGAAAAAGAAAAAAAGAAATAGGAAGAAATAATGAAAAATAGATAGTAAAAACAAAACAAAGAAAAGTAGAGAAAGACAAATAAGTTGATTAACAAAAAAAGAATTAAAGACAAAATAGAGACAGAAAGAAAGAGAAATTGCAGAGAATACATAAAGGAATGAAAGAATGAAAGAAAGACGAAGAACGAATTTAAACAGTAAGAAAGTAAAAGTAATTAGGTAAATATTTCGAAATAGAAGAAAAGAGGAAATATAGTTCTACAGAAGCAACAAAAAGAAATAAAAAGACAAATAGAAAAAATATGTAGGAAGAAAGTAATAGGAAGAAGAAAGAACGGAAGAAAGGATAAAAAAAAAGAAAGAATAAAAAATGCGAGACATAAAGAATAATAAAGGAAAAAAGAAAGAAAGAAAGATGAAGAAAGAAAGTGTTAGAATGTAATGAAGAAAAAATAAAGACAGAAAGATAAGTAAACAGAAAAAAAAAGAGAAAATATATTAATACACAGAAAAATATGAAAGAAAGAAAGAAAGATGATGAAAGAAAGAAAGTGTTAAAATGTAATAAAATAAACAAATAAAGACTGAGTAAACAGAAAAAAAAAGAAAAAAATATATTAATACACAGAAAAATATGAAAGAAAGAAAGAAAGATGAAGAAAGAAAGAAAGTGTTAAAATGTAATAAAATAAACAAATAAAGACTGAGTAAACAGAAAAAAAAGAAAAAAATATATTAATACACAGAAAAATATGAAAGAAAGAAGTAGATAAAAAAAATAAAAAGAGAAAGAGAAAGATAGACAGAAACAGACGATAAAATAAATAAAAAGTAAAAGTACGTCAGGAAGAAAAAAATGAAAAACGGAGAAAAGCAAAATAAAAAAGAGGAAAAGAAAAGAATGACAGAAAAAGAAAAACGAATGAAGGAAACAAATATTCAGAAAAACGAAGAGAAAAGAAAGCATGAGAGAAAGAAAGACAGAAATTAAGAAAGAAAGAAAGAGACAAAATCTTATGAGTCTCGCTAGTCATCCTCGATGGAAGTTATAAAATATGAACGCTTACAAATGTGTTTTGTTTATAAAACAACGTGTTCTGAGTAACGAAGCCATCTTTTCGTTTTGGGTGTTTTTCTTATAAATGTGTATAAAATAAGAGATTTTAAAAACAATAAAAACAAAGAAACGGTTAACTTAGTCAAAGAAATGAAAGTGAAAAGGGAGAAAAACAGGTTTCTGGGGGAAAAGAAAAAAGAAAAGTAAGTTTCGCGAATTTCTTTCATTTGCGTTTACGCACAAATGAAAAAAAAAAAA